GATATATATATATATATATATATATATATATTTCAAAAAGATTCCAAACAAACATGATATCGAAAGCTGATGTTAACAGCCATTAATATTGATTTGTTTAAAAAATCCTCCCAGCGCATGCAGGAAGCTGAAACTGATCAGCTTTTTATAAAGCTTAATCAAACAGCAGAGAACATTTATGCTTCATATCTCCAGCTTTATTGGTTTAGAATGGAGCGGCCATATCTATCAAATAAGTGGCACGTCAATTTCAGCTTTCATTTCAGTTTTACTTTTTGTTCTTAATTAATTGTGATGGACGATCAGTGGTTGCTGTTCAATGGCTCTGTCGACGGGCTCATAGAACCCAACAGTTCTTCTTTTTCAATGACTGCTGTTAATTGGCTGTAAGAGATGAAGTAGTTGCTCCAGCAGAATCTCTAGCTAGCATGGAGCTCAAGCCACCGTTACTGATTTAGGGTTTAGGGTTCGAAGTTGGCAAGCAGAAGATAGAACCAGTTGCAGATTGCAGTAAAATATATACTCATGAAAATTTATTTTGACACGTCACATAATTTGATTATAAGCATATAAACTTCTAACATATATGTTCGACTCCTTAAATGTATTCATGAAATTTTTAATGATACTTTTGAGTGCTTAATTGAGGTTCATATAGTCTCATATCAAGCCACTCCTAGTTTTACTTGGTTTGACTACCAAAATGTTTGTTTGTTAAAATTTAAATTTAGATGATCATAAAGTCAATTTTGAAAACCCAATTTTTGTTTGCTCTTAAATTTTGATTATCTAAATTAAAACTTGTTCATATTTATGTCTAATCATCTTAATTTTGTTATGACATGTCAAAATGAAATATTCTTTGAAGACCGTTGGATGAATGACACGTGACAAATACATTTCACATATCATTCATTCAACCACTTCAAATTAATTTTGGATTTCTAAACTTAACAACATAGCAATATCATTAAAAATAATAATTAAAACTGATGCGTGCTAGAAAAATCGCGGCGGTAGAGTAATGAATTATCGTCTTAGCGTTGCAAGAGAATTCAGCACACACTCAGATGAAAATAAATCAAGCTGTGATAACACCAAAAGTGGAAAACCCGTAAAAAGTGGAAAAAACCAGAAAGGAAAAAAAATCACGGGGTCTGACCCAGTTGTAAAAATCCACTATAAGATGATAATTACAGATGTCCCTTATCCCACAGACGGGAAATGATTACTAGCTTTCCACGGTATAACGTCGACTGATGACGTCTAGTAAGTGATGGTTGACGGAGGTCAGCAAGGATCCGATCAACGTTGGCCGGCGGTGGTCGACAGAGATCGGCAGTCGTTGTCGACGGTCAGTGGTGGTCGACGGCGATCGACGATGGCGAGGATGATCTTGGACCTGAGTTCATTCTCAAAGCCTCAAGTTCTCTCTTAAGCCTCCTCCCCCTCATGTGAGGGGTGAGGCTCTATTTATAGTGTTTAGAGTGCAATTAATGCAGAAATATGAACCATTTTGATCGGACGGCCCGGAGAGCTTCCCTGGATCATATGACGTTTGATGAACATTTGAGTGCTTTAACTATATTGGAATTGAGCAATCTTAGGCTCGTTGGATTCGTCTTTTCGAGACGCTCGATTCGACTATAAACTCGCTAGATTCGATATTCTTTTGACCTTTCAAATGCCTCCGGAAATCCTTCAGTAGTGGTTTAATAACTTGATCTGGGCTTGATTTGACTCGGATTGGACTAACTTTTATATCATTAGGTCCGTTTCATCGAGCCGATCAGTTTAACTATAATTTTGCTGAAATCGGAGTTCCGGATGACTCGTAATCGAAGTTTAAATGTTCGTGCTCAAATTATTACATTGAGATTCGTGTTGGATTATGATAATTAATCGGTAGCCTATCAAAAATAAAAACAATATCATTAGAATATCTTAACCTCAATTATTAGGTGAATGATTTGCCTTCTTGATTCCCACAAAAATAAATGTTTTGCGACTTTAATAAACCTTTTAATATTGTTTAGAACAACATTATCTATAATAATATTCATTAAAAACACCAGTGGGGGTCAGTAGGCGCGTGGGCGGAGCCGTCCCACGCCCCCCCCCCCCCCCGCCATATGGAAGCCATAATTAACTCAGGACAAGCGAAGCCACCAAATTTCATTTCTTAATCATACACTAATCCTCATGTTTAGCGATTAAGCTTTAATTAACAAGCCCAGCGGGACATCATACCAGTCCCAACTATCTCTCCTTTGAATTGACCATCTTACCCTCACCTCTACCCTCTTATTCGGCCACGACCACCTTCACCATATTACACACCACGTGCCATTATGTAAATAAATTAAAGACCAGGGGCTGCTCTATCATTGCCCAGGTCAGCACGGCACCCCTTCGCTTCCAATGCGACATTTCTATTTCACCTTTTATTTTAATTTTTTATTGGTTGATTTACATAAATCCCCCTCAACTTCTATATATATACATATAAAACACCTTTACTTCAATGAAAAGGATGTATTTCAAACCTTTTAGAGCTTAAATAATGACATTGTGGTCTTATAATAAAGATTTGGGTGGTATATATATGTAAAAACAATTAAGTTTGGGTGTTAATATATAAATATATAAAAATTAAATGATTTATAAGTAAAATCTTTTTTTTTTTAATTAATTTTGTTATATTATTATTATTGCTCGACCGATACTCGCTTCCTCTCCCACTTTATATTCAGTTGGCGAGAAACAAAGGGGCGGAACAGTTGATCAAGCAGGCGAAACGATGGCGACGACGGCGATCGTGACGGCGTTGATCGTAGCCACGGCGGCCCTAACGGCTGCTCTTAACGTTCCGACGGTAAGCTTCGAAGAGGGATACACGCCCCTGTTTGGCGATAAGAACATCATCCAATCCGCCGGCGGCCGAGCGGTGAAGATTCTCCTCAACAAATATTCCGGTAAGCGATCTCCCCGACGGCGACTTGCCGATCGCCGTTCGTTTTATCTGTTTCCGTCTACGACGGTGAGTTATGACGGCGGTTTTATCGCCCGTTTATTGTTGCAGGATCGGGATTCATCTCGTCTGATATTTATTACCACGGATTGTTTAGCGCGTCGATCAAGCTGCCGTCTGATTACACGGCCGGCGTTGTCGTGGCCTTCTACGTAAGTGCTGCCTTCCTTATCTTTCCGGTTTCGTTACGTGAACGGTTTCCGTTCTGTTCTGACCGCTCAATCGTCTCTGATATTTTTCATATACATGGCACAAATTCTATGTATTTACATATCTAGAAATTAAAATTTAATATTTATACTTATAAATTATAATACTTTGATGATACAAGGTTAATGTTAATTATGATGTTATAATATTGAGTATTATAGATATAAATGTGAAAGTTTAGGTTAGATATATATAAATATATAAGAATTGTGTGGGGTATGTATGTAAAGAGGCCTTGCGTGGCTTTAGCCGGCCAGCGAATGGCAAGTAGAGAGTTTTGTGGTCCAGCGAGACGGAGGCTATCCAGAAGTATCTAAGTCTTTTTTCAAGGGTATTACTGTCATTTAAAGTATAATCATGCTCATATAGGATTTCTCTCGTCATTATTGTATTGTTTCATATGAGCGAATTTGAGTTAGAATGAATAGAACAGATAATTAATTAAGCAAAACTTTGAAGAAAAATTACCTTCTAATAATTCAATTTTTTAATTAAATAAGGCTTAAAAGTTATAAATAAATTTATTTTGAGATAAATATAGCATACATGGAATTTATATTGCACTTATATTGATTCAAATATAATAATTCTAAATTTAGCATAATTAAAATTTAGTGAGAATAGTTTGGATTAATTTTTAAGAATTGACTTGGAAATTTTCAAAATAAATTGCATCCATGGATTAATAAATTTTCGCAAATATGTAATAAATTTGTAATTGTTGAATTTTGATTTGTGTGTGAACAATAATAAATAGTAAAATTTCTTGTTTATTAGTATTTTCTCATAAAATGATATCCATATTTACAGTGAAAATAGTACAATATGTGATATTATAATTCTGTCTGTTTTAATAAGGATTCATACATGATATTATAGATATTTTACATGTATGAGCTTATTTCTCGGCTATTCTATTGACTCGATCGACAAGGCTAGTCTGACTTCTGCTCACTGTTCATTAACTCCTCCTTTCTAGACTGCTGGATCTTCTCATTTCGGATCTTCTTGAGATCAGTGGTAACACATTCTTGTTGTATAGCACGGTTTTCTTCACTTAAAATAAATGAAATTAAAGACTTCAAATTTCAAAAGTTGTTGCACTTGCAACTTAAACAATGCCCACTCAAATACGCACATGGTGTGCTTTGGTTAGTTTAACAAACTCACCAAATTGCAAACTACCAAACATTTAAATTCGTTTGAAAATAATAATAATAATAGAACATAATAAAAATTGGATTTTTACATGCAGATGTCAAACGGTGACATATTTGAAAAAAATCACGACGAGTTAGACTTCGAATTCCTGGGCAACGTAAAGGGAAAAGAATGGCGGGTTCAAACCAACATTTACGGCAATGGGAGCACAAGCCGCGGGCGAGAAGAACGCTATCAGCTCCCCTTCGATCCCACTTCAGAACCCCACCGTTATTCTATTCTTTGGTCCAAAACCAAGATCATGTAAGTTCTAAAAATTCAATATTTTTTACCAAAACAAACACTTTAATCCGTCCAATTTACAAAAACAGATTCAAAAAAAGTTTTTGATAAATGTACAGATTCTATATCGACGAGACTCCAATCAGAGAAGTGGTGAGGAGCGAGGCGATGGGTGGCGACTTCCCATCAAAACCCATGTCGATATACGCCACCATATGGGACGGCTCCACCTGGGCGACTTCCGGCGGGAAATATAAGGTGGATTACAGATACGAGCCTTTCGTCACAGAATTCAAAGAGCTGGTCCTCCATGGCTGCCGCATGGACCCCATCCAACAGCTTCCGGCTTCCGAACAGTGCGGGGAGTTTGAGAGCCAGACAGACGCCGCTGATTACTCCTCGTTGTCGCCAGAGAAGCGCAAGGCCATGGTTTTGTTCCGGCAGAGACACATGACTTACAGCTGCTGTTATGATGAGCAGAGATATCCCATTCCTTTGCCGGAGTGTGACGTTATGGAGTCGGAGAGGAGTAGGTATTGGAAGTCCGGTGATGTAAAGGTCCAGCCGGAGATGATTCTCCGCCGGCACCGGGGGAAAAAGCGCGGCCGAGCGAGGAGTAGAGGTGTTGAGGCCGACGGACAAGCTGTTGCTTGATTTGCTCGCTGATTTTCTGGTGTCTTAAGTTGTAAAGATGAGGAAAATTAAAGTGAAAATAGATGATACTCTTAGCTGCTTATTTTCAGTATACCGTTTTACCCGTGGAGAAAATTGAAACTCGGTCCAAAGTCAACGTGTATAAGACAAATAAAATTGATGTATTGAAATATATAAATGATTTTATTTTTTAAACGTTGATTGGGAGATTGGATTGTTTTGATTTGTTAGAATATTGCTCGTATTGCAGTAGTCAAGTTTAAGATGTTTGATGGATTGGATTACTATGATGTTTTGTTCTTTGTAAACACAACCATACAACTGATAACGAGCGGTCGACCTACGCGAGGTTCATCCCACATTAGGTCTGGGAAAACAGTTTGTTCAATTACAGAAAAGAAGTGAATGTTTATGGAAAGTGTTCTTAATGTCCTGAAGGTTTTAACTGATTGTATAGATTTTATGTCATATTTGTATTACAATTTGAAGTTCGAAATTGGTGGTAATTTGTTGCTCTGCTAGCTTGAAGTCAACCAACAGAGGCGTCTGGTCGACTGACATTGATGCCTCTGGAGTACGTGTTGGTCGGTCGGGGTGTTCAATCACATGACTATCTTGCTAATTGTAAATTGAAGCTTAATTATAAATTTGATTTTAAAATTTAGCTAGAAAATAAAGTGGATTGTTTTCTTACTTCGTTTGACCATTGCCTACATCTTTGCATATGGGCTCATCATATTTAAAATTTCTGCACAACCTGCACTAAGAAACTAATTTTACTCATATAATTTTTACATAAATCTTTTTCATGGGTATAACCTTTCTTTGTACATATTGTGGGCAAGGCACCAACTCTAAGCCAAAATAGAACAAATTTTCTTTGAAATGCCTTCTGCAAAAGTTGTGGGAATACATTAGTAGCGACTGAATTTATTGCCAATCTAAAATTTGATCTCAAAATCGGATGAATGATAAACACTTGTGTTTCTTTTCTTCTTGAATGTGCAAGAACTTTCTTCACAACTTTTCTCTTTAATTTTGAAAGGATGTTCTTTATGGGATTTCTCACGAGCATTCCATCGTAACACCCGTAATATAAAACACGTTATATGATATGATATGATATCACACACATGCACACTCACTCAAACCCTAAAAACTCAAAATAATTATCATAAATAGTTAAGTATTGGTTTCTCATATATATATATATCTTTTTATTTTTAAGGTTCAAAATAACTCAAATTATGGGTTTGATTGATTTCATAGCAACTCATGTGGTTGTTCTAGCATGCATGTCACTAATGATAATATCACGAAGGGGTGTAAGTCCTACAGCCTTTAATATAGATAAAAAGGCTAATGTAAGTATGTCAAATTCAAAGATTGTTCAACCTTTAAATTTATTGAAGCTTGCAATTATACTGCATATGCTTGATTTTGGCTTGATAGGACTCGAATCGAATCACTTTTAGCGTTGTTCAATTTATGATGTTGAGATATTTAGTTTAGTTACAAATTTAATAAAATTGGAGCAGTAGCGATAGCAGTGGTCGGGTAGCTATAGTTGTTGTGGTAGTAAAAATTTGATGGTAATGGGGGGTTGATGATGGAGGCAATAGATGCGTGGCGATAATTTGACATCTTTGATGGCACTACAATGATAGTGGTGACGAAAATCTAATGGCGATAGTGTTCTACTAACGGCATCGTCATCGACACAATGATGATCCAACAACATTAGTGGTTCAACGACGAAAGTCTGATAATGACAACAATTGAGCAATAATATTCTGATAGTAGCAGCGTTCAAGCGATGAAAGGTTGAGGCAGATAAAAGGTTAGAGCTCTGGAAACCTCAGAGCCTCGAAGCATCATGAAGTCTTCTTTTTCAATCCTGGTTTCCTAGCCTCCTCCCCACCCTTATGAAAAGAGTGGGAGTATGTTTATGGCGTTAGAGACTGTCGGTGAAAGTCTAATGCTTGTGAATGGTTGGGGCTTTGGAATCCTTTAGGCCTTAAAGCTCCCTTAAGTCTTCTCTTTCAAGTTTAGGCTCCCTCCTCCCTTACGAAACGAGAGGGGGTCTATTAATAGATTTTAGGAGTGACATTCTTCATATATAAATATCACTTGAATCTAGATCATTGTATCAGATAAATCAGAGTAATTACCTTGACTGTATAGTGATTTTTTTTAATATACGAGTTTCTTATTGATGTCAAAATTAAGTCATTATGGACTCATTAAATTTGTCAATTTGAGAAGCTCAATTTGACTATAAACTTGCTATATTTGGAGATCATTCGGTCCTTGATCTGGTGTTCTAAAATTTTTAATTATATTTTAAATGTTTGATTTGGATACATTTGAACTAGAATAGAATCACTTGTGACATTATTGAGTTTGTCATATGAAACCATTCAATCTTTTATATTAAATTTGTTAAAATTTGAGTTCTTGTGATTCTTTTATTAACTTAAAAAATTAGCCCTTTCCAAAATGCATTCAGATTCGCGCCTGACCAGTGATTTTTTTGTTAAACGCACATCAACCGTCATTTATATGCAAGTCATGTACTCAACAACCATCTCCACCTCCAAGATGCTAGCCCGAAACCCTCGATATTAAGAAGAGTGGTTAGGAGGCACAAGTTTAAGTCACCCAAACAAAGCTATCCACATAGTTTAGAAATTGTTAATAGGGAAAATTGCATACATAGCACCCAATTCTCATGGATTTACTTAGCGTTACATTTTATATATAATATTTGTAATTATTGAAATTTAGATGAGACAGCTAAGTATAAAAGTTTTGATTATTATTATCTTTTGCCCGCACGGGCGGCAAAGCACCACATAACCTCTGCATCCTGTTGCACGCACGGGCGGCAAAGCACCACATAACCTCTGCATCCTGCCGCAGCATGGAATGCGATTCTCATCCCATTTCTTGGCAGGGGATCTCGGCACTGAGAAGAAAGCAAGAAAAATAGAATGGTAAAGAGTTGGGAAAGGGAGATATATATATATGCATGCATCCTATCCGTCCGGTCTTGAGCTGGCTTTCTTCGCTCTCTAATTATTATTCACTCCGGTCAGATAACAGAGGAAGCGAAGAAGGCTCCTGGCCGGCCGCAGGTTTCTTCTTCCTATCATCTCTTTTTTATTTCTTGCCTCTCTCACCATCTCTCGTCTTAACGACATAAGATGAGCATAGGGGGGCGGCGGCGGGCAGCAACGGCCGGTGGCTGGAGTTGGTGGTAGGTGGTCGACAGCACAGGTGATGAAAGGCGGCCACGATAGACAGTTTGCCAATATATTTTATAGCGTAATTCCGATTCGATCAAATTGGTGGGAATGGACTAACGAGGGAACTTCAAATTCATTTAAGCTTTTTATTGTATTTTACTTCTTCATAACAAATATTTAATTTCCTCCAAATTCAGCTAAAATGAACAAAAAAGTGAGCTTTAAATTCATTAAAATTTTGCATCGTATTTGTCTTCTTAAGAACAAACACTAGTACGTTCTAAAATCGTGAAAAACTACAGGACTTGCGAAACAATTTTTGGAACGTTCGCCAAACAAAATTTTTTATACACGTCGAAACGGAACTAAACTTCAGCCCCATTCACAAGTATAAGGAAGCAAATCCGTTCAATCAAGCTACAACACAAGCCACCCTTCCCTGTACGCCATGTCTAAGATATCTGCAAGATTTCTATCTAATAAAGACCAGAAGAGAATTGTGTGTGCTGAAGCTCGAAGCGATTTCATTGACGTCCTCTTCAGCTTCCTCACTTTGCCGCTCGGAAGCATTGTTCGACTTATGGCCAAGCAGTCCGGACTTGGATCTCTCGATGTTCTCTACGATGCTGTAGAGCAACTTGATGTCAAAATCCTGCAGACCGAGGCATGCAAAGAAATGCTTCTCAATCCTCGAAGCCCGACAGCAATAATATGCGAAGACTTGAAGATTAAAAACATTCATAACGCGAATCCAAGGAGTTTCTACATTTGCAATGAAAGTGATTGCTTGGCTCATCCAACATGTTATTATACTTACGTGAAAAATTGTCGATGCATCTATTGTGGTAAACTGATAACTAACAGTTGGGTATGGTTAAAAGAAACTTTTGGCGATGGGGGAATCTTTGTTGATGACAAAACAAGCTTCATGATAAGTGATGATTTGCGGGTGATGCCGACTTCTTTGATGAGGGGCTACTCTCTTCTTGAAGAATGGCCAATTAATGATGTGCGTAGCTTAGAGGAGAGGGTAATTGATTTCGGCACAGATGAGGTAATTAAGCCATTGATGAATATTTTATTACAAAAACTGAAAGTTCGAGGTTATAATGTTGTTTGATTTAAATTTTTCAGATGCTGAACTTGCTAAGGAGATCATTAGTGTCCAAAAATCCATTGACAGAGGTTTGTTTTGCTGATGCTACTGTGGCAGCAGATGTAGATTGCTCTTTGATGGTTAAAGAAGAGACGAGTGACGACAAAACAGTAGGTGCAATTGCTTTAAAGCTCATAATAAACAAGAAAAACAACAGTGTTGTATGCGCCGAAGTCGGGGAGGATTTTGTCAATCAGCTGCTCAGCTTTCTAACCTTTCCACTCGGCTCTGTGCTTAAACTTATTTCTGATAATATATCAATATTAGGCGGCTGCATAAGCAATCTGTATTCATCGGCAGAGATTATGGACTTAGAGTGCTTCAAATCAAAAACACACAAAAACATGTTGCTGAATCCAAAACTCGCCACCTTTCATAGTTTTGACAGACAAATATTGAAGTTGGAGGAAACTACATCGAAAAAGTTACTCGTGTCGGGGGGTTGTCCAAAGTGTTACTCTGATAATAAGCACAAACCTTGTGTACCTGCTCCATGCAAGCATGGTGTAAGACAATCACAAATCTTAGAGCAGAATCCCAAGTCAGGGAAGCTAAGTGCGCATAGTGGGGGAGCTTTTGTGGCCGACTCTAGAAGGTTTATGGTTTCAGATAACCTTCACATTTCTCCTCTATCCTTCATCTCAGCAATTAAAAATTATACAAAGGATTTACCCATTTCTGATCTTGTTGAGAAAGATGTCTACATTGGTAAAGCCAAGGTAAATCATCTCAATTCTCTTTTGTTGCATTTATGTGACTTATTATTTATTTTTTTAATTTGATATTTGTGATTGAGTATTTTTTTTTCAAATTGTAGGTTCTGTCGCTGCTGAGTACTATGCTAATTTCCAAAACTGTATTAAGTGATGTTTTCCGTTCTAAGCTAGTGCAGAGCTGAAAAAGACAATTCCTGTGAAGTTTGCAGCATAAATGTTTCATTATTGGATATCATATGGCAAGTGATTGTATTTATTGTGAGTATAGTTATTCAAGACACTGAGCTATTTCTCCATCATGATCAAACGATTGTTTTAAAATTGTGATTAATTATCAAAATATTGTCGATCCCATATATTAAATTTAGTTATGAAAGTTTGTTTATGACACTAGGATATAATTATAACTCAATCCAATTTATTTATTCATTTTCAATAATTTCTCGTTTCTTTCAAATATATATTATGTAGATGTTGGCTCGTATATTACCCAACTATTTTTTAAAATACATTTTATTTAATTATGTATTAAAAGGACTTAGCTACTTTCGTTGAAGGATATCTCATGGCTTTACTGGATCAGAGGCTTCCGCAAGTCCTTCACTCCTTGTTTCCTCCTTCTAATGCCTTGGCTGCAATACAATTAAGTTAGGATTAACAATGAGTCATATATGTGTATTTATATCAAATGTATTGATATGTAAAATATTTAAGTTAACCTTAGAATTATTTACAAGTGTGCCACAAATGTATTCTATATATTATAATGTATGTAACAGAGTAATGTTGAGATAATAAAATAACTTTGCTGTTATGTTTTCTCCTCTTCTTCATTTCCTCGCTTTATCTGTTATATCATGGTATCGGAGCAGTGACTTCCTGTAGGCTTCAAGATCTCATGGATACCTCTTCTTCAGTCTCCCCTCACTTCACCATCTCCTCTCAAGAAACCCTCAACAAAATGAAGGACACTCATATTCCACCATCTCTCAGATTTTTGATGTAGAACACAAAAGCATGGCCAAAAATCCCCTTATTTTCGAAAACTATGTTGTATGGAAAGTTCAGGTTAACAACTTTTACTTGCAAATGGCTTTGGACCATTTTTTGACCCCACTATTCTTCCTCCCCCAAAAGAACATGAAGATTTCATTAGGGTTATCACTCACAACCTTGATTATACCTTTTGGAGATTAATAGATCAAAATCTTGTCGCTAGCTTATTCTCCATTATATCACCCTCTGTCCTTCCTTATGTCAGCTAAAACATGAATTACACAATGTTCATTCGGGCACACAAACCATGACCAAATACTTCAGTTCCACCATAATTACTGTTAATAACATAGCCGCGACATGCTTAACGATTGATAATGAGTATATCATCATTTATACTATGAATGGTTTACCCCAATTCTATGAACTTTCAAAGTTGCCTTTTGAACCCAATTAACTCCTTTAAGCCTCGAAATTTTTTATTCCTTACTTTGTAGTGAGAAAATTAATATATCCATCAAAGCCCTTAAAGCCATCCATACCACCACACTAGTCTCTTTAAAAAAATAAAACCAGATTCTTCCCCC